TGTATTATAATTAAGATCTGATTCACGTAAGGCTACAGATTTTCTAAAAAGTGCTATAGTTAAAAATTGTCGGTATAGTCAAAGACCATAAGAATAGCTACAGATAGTTTTTCAGAAGGTATAGATCCACTGAGTCCTGTATGAATTTTATTCTATCAAATAAATTGACGAGTTTTTAAAAACATCTATTATATACTTGCTTCCATATAGATCTGTGACACTTGTTGAATCTTGATATGAACATAAAAGAGTTTGTCAGATTTAAGGAATAGGCAGAAGTCTAATCCGAGATATGCAGAAGGACTCTTTTTAAGATAATCAAAGATATTTAAAAGATTTTAAGAAAAATATTAAAGTGTCAACTATAAAATAGTAACTTGTGATACTGTTTACGAGATTAGCTGAGATCCTTTTTTTCTGAGCAAAATAGAAGTCGATATCATATCATTCTGTATTAAGTTTTGATATTGAGTTCAATAAATTGTTAAATAAGTTAAGATAAATATCATTCAATTTTACATGATGTCTCATTTCTATTAAATTAATAAAAATGGAAATAATTTCGTTTTTGAATTGTTTACAATCACTTAATAGAAAGAAATCTAGAATAATTATATTACAACAGCTTCGATTTTGATTCCGTAATTCTTAAATAGCTATCTTTATTTATAACATATTCATATAAAATCGTTTAGCTTGTGAAAAACGAGTCCGCTTATCTACCGAGTGAAAAACTAAATATATCAGCTGTGCAACAATTGCATAATAAGAAGTAAATGCAGAATTTATTTGGTTCAATGTATTATTTTTATTTTTTCCAAATGAAACGAAGTAAAGTGCAATTGCACAAGAAAATGACAGCCTTGAAGTAAAGTTTCTATTCTGAATGAATCGCTATAACACGACGGATATATGTTCTTGATGGTAGAAAAATATTATATAAAATCAATTGATAAATGTTCAGGTATTCATGTTATAATACTTATATCTAGAAGTGTAAGTCATATAGATTAGCCCTCGATGCTAATCAACTGATTAATTTACAACTCAATTCTTAATGATTTTTAATAAAGTGGATATATGGTGTAGTAGAAAATTCTGACAGAATCTTTCGAGGTTTAAACGTTTTATCAGATTCTTCTCTGACTTTCGAATAATTTTACACTGAATCAACAAAGATTTTTCCTATAGTTATGCTCCTGTTAAATTTCTGAGAGTTCTTAGTTCAATTACTGAACTTTTCATCACTAATTTGATTATAGTATGAGGGTGAGAATGATCGTTGGTAGGTATTGCATATATAACCCTCACACTCAATAAATGAGCAACATTTATTATCGTCTCTACAGATACTGTACTTTTTTTCTCTCGTTTATTTTCGATATTACTCATAAATATATATCAAAATATTAGTTTTCTGTATTTACATAGGGGTGTCAAAAAGTTCTCGTAACAGCAGCCTAAAATTTCACCCTCATTGATTTTATTCTTCATGCTGGCCTATTCTGGTAGTGACATCTGTTATACATTAAAACACCAATACAAAGTTTCATAAGTGTCTATCACGGCAAATTCTTAACGAATTTTTTGAACACCTCTGTTTTCAGATGAATAAACTGTGTATACACTCGTATATAAAAACTCGTTTATTATTAGGCTTAACAGTTACACAAATTCATAATGAATTAGCTGCTGTTTATGGGCCAGATATAGTTTCATATAGTACAGTTACTCGGTAGATTCAACGATTTTTAAATGAGCGAGAGTACTTGGAAGATAATCCTCGAAGTGGTCGTCCGTTATCCGCCATCATTCAACAGAATATTGATGGAGCTAAAGATCTGGTGAATGATGATCCACATATTATTATTGATTATGTTGCTGCCATCTTAGATACAGTTATCACATCACTTATTGTAGTGGTTACTCGAAGATATTAGTAAAAAATTTACATAAGAAAAAATCATCATCAACAGAAGATAGCATAAATTTGCATTAAAAAAATGCAGTAGTACGCATGGAAAATATTGTCCTCCATTTTAATTATCTTCAAGAAGAAAAAATCAAAGTTATGGCTCATCCACCATATTCACCTGACCTTGCACCTTCAGATTTTTGGTTGTTCAATTATCTGAAACGTGCCCTTTATACATGCCCAGATGCAACAAGTCTAGCCAAAATGTTATCCAGGAAGCTTCATTCAATACTTATTCACGAATACCAAAAGACATTCCAGAAATGGATTGAAAGGATGAAACTCTGTATAGAACATCACGAGGACTACTTCGAACATTTACTATAAAGAGATCAGCAAAATGTTTTCTCTATGGATAAATATTTGAAAGTCCGAGAACTTATTGACTGACCTATGTACCATGTTCTACTTTGTTGATTTATGAAACAAATTCGAGATATCAGTTATATTCTAAACTAAGTTATATTTTTATTTTTCATATTATAGATGCGACGTTTAAAGCTTCACGGGACAAATTTCTTAATGCGATCTTATTATATTTCGATCCAGCAGAACTGTCGACAGGTCATCAGGCCATCTAATATTTGTAATTTTCCAGTAGATTAGATTTTTCGGATCTATAACTTGAATCTCTTTCAAAAACAACAAGCTATTCCTACAGACCACACCAGCTCATTATAGATTATCATCGACCACATCATACAGATCTATCTTTTCTTTATATATTTATCCGACTATTAGAATACGCTAATGATTTCAGACGAACAAGCGAATGACAAAATATTTGCACTTGTCTTCCGAATAGATATGCAAACGAATATATTTTGATAAAATACATTTACTGTCTATGGTCTTTGTTATTTATATACATATATATTTTATTATAATTATTTTCTTCTTCAAAAGGGTGTAATTTTTGTAAAAAAAACTCTTGATTTTAGTATTTTTTCCATTCATATTCATTACTACTTAGCAAAAGCAAATCAAATCGAGAATTATCATCAGCTTGAACGAGTTGATTAATTTTTTGAGGCATGATAAAATATCATCAAAAACAGTTCGTCAGTCTTAAATAGACTATCAGATGTAGTTTTTTATGTTAATTATTGTAACGAAAAATGACTGAGAGAAAAGACTGCAGAGATGGTGGTGATGATGATGATGCATCAACTGTGTGGCTGTAGCTTTATGAAAGATATAAGATGGAAATACAACCTACACTCACCATATACGGTAAAAGTATATGTACTAATCTAACAAGGACATATCGTGTATATCGATAAAGGAGTCATAACAGAATAATAAAATAAGGACACTATCAAAGGACATATAGAAGAGACAGACTGTAAGGTTACGAAGCAAAGGATAGACTACTATAAGGACATATACAAACAAAAGGAATAGAATATAAAGAATACGCATCAAAAGAATGAAGGACAGATGCTAATATCCGCACAATTATGAATCTGACGTTGATTTCCTACGAAAATAACTTTTTAAAATATGAAATCGAATTCTAAACGTTCTGAAAATGTTATTTTGGATTTTTGTAGATAAAAGGCAATTCTTGGACAATTTCAAATTCCAAACTTATTGCTCAGAATATAAGCTTTTACGAGGACCCATCGGTATCCATACTAGGATAAAAAACTTAACAGTACCGACAGGTCTAATATTCGAAGAAAATGAAATCATTCTGGGCATGTTAAATTTCTTAAAATTGATCAAGATATAAATATTACAGCATTAATTTTGAACGAGTCATCTATCTAGTCTCTCGTATGCGAACTGGTTCATTTTCTACTTTTTATGACGTTTTGAGCTAACAAAAGGTGTTAACTATGTGATTTTGATATGACGAAGAAATAATTTTTTTATTTAAAAAGGTAATTTTCGTATACTACGCGTTCTATTACCAATTTATGTTCGAATAAGATGTGTCTCTTTATTTGAGAATTATTTTCGAAACAGTAACCGGCAAAATATATCTCCACTGAAAATCATAACGTGAATTATGGTAGATAATCATCGTGTTAAAATGAATTAATTTTATCTACACTAGGATATCAAACACTTTGTTTCGTATTATCTCGAATACACAGCTTTTATATTCACTAATGGATTTGAATAGATTATTTATGTTGAATAGACAAAATCAAACAAAAATTCATACTCTGAATATCTCTTATTTTTAAATCAATAAAATATATTTGGATGAAACATGAACCAACACAATATAATGGTAATTTAATATCTCTCTTTTTAATTATTTCGAATATTCTCTACCGAAATTCAAGATTCTTCTAATTTACTTTATAAAAAAATATTCATAGCAATTTGATTGCAATAATACAACATACAAAAAAACGATACAAAATATTGTTTACTAGCTTTCTATATTTTCCTATAATAAGATAAGATCAACGGTTGATTATTTATTTGATATTTATCAGCATTGTTCATAACTTCATCAACTTGTTTAGTATTTGTAAAAGATAAAAATGCGTATCTAAATCATAAAGAAAATTTAATAATTAAAATATCTTAAATAAAAATTTTACCCAAATAAAATTTTAGAATTTGAATTTGATTTTTGAACAATTTTTGTTGGAATATATTTTATTTGATTAGAATTCGAAAATAAATTTTTTAAATCATTTTTCAGGTATTTGTTTGATAACAATATTCCACTTTTCATTAAGTTTATTTTCATTTGAAAGTTCCGAAAGATTTTTAACAAATTCTATTTGACAATTTGATCCAAATGTCGAAGATTTAATTGCTCGTTTTCGATTATATTCAACTTGAAGATTTATACGATGAGATATAAATACGTAATTAAGATGTGGTGGTAATTGACTTTGTTTTAAAATAATTTTTGTTGAACCAATAAAATAATTTCGAAGATCATTTTTATTATTTTTTAGATAAATTTGTTCATTTATTGATTGATCATTAGATGATGATGGTGTGTCAATCATATTCAATATTTCTTCATAATTTGAAGATTCACATTGATTAGTATTCATAAACATAATTCATTAAAATCTATTTGATTATTAAATTGTGAAAATTTCATTGATTCATCACAAATATTTGTTACGAAATCTTCTCTAAACAATTCAATTTATTTATTTGCATCAATCGTTCAAATAGAAACTTACTCATTAATATTATCAAGAAATGATAAATCTTTATTTAATTTAGCATCTTCATCTAAATAAAGATAAAATTAAAAGAAATCCTTGTAAATAAAAACAAAATACTTTGATGAGTATTGAGTTGAAGATATTTCTGAATATTTTCATAATTATATAAATTGAAATCAATTGATTTGTCCTTATATAAATTTGAAGATAATTTACAATGACATAAAGAAATATTTTTATTATGTTGATCATAAAAGCAAGATGGTAAAGCAAAATCAATTGATTCACATAGAATTTCATCTTGAGTAAAACTTTGTGAAAGAATTCCAGATGATAATATAAGAATTTCATTTGGATTCTGAATGACTTTTTTATATTTTATATTATATTTGTTAAATAATAATCGATCAATTAAAATTTCATCATGTTGAAAACATATTGATGGATTATATACTAATAACGAAGTCCACCTTCATGATGATCATTCAATTGATAAAGATTTTGTTTATTAGAAGATAAAGAAAATATCGCAGCAGGTCCATGTGCTTTAATTAATGTTGATGAATATTTATTACAAAACTGATTTCAAAAGTAATTGATGAAAATCAAATTGATCACGATGAACACGTTTTAAAAATAATGATCAATCATTAATTATTGAAATACTTGAGATATCTTGTGTATTTGGACCATTTGGACGCTAGAACAGAATGTCGCAAGACAAAACGTCGCAGGACAAAATGTCGCAACGAGAGACTTTCTCAGTAGAATAACGATGAAAGGTATATTCTGATAAAAAAGGACTTCTAATCAGTAGATGATATTATAGATACATTATTATCCCGTATGTATGGTAGTTGTGGTTGCTTACAACAAGCGATCCGACTATCAAAACCTGTCGGAGTTTTTAAATATGTTGACGGGCTATCTAAAGTTAATAGAACCCGTAGCAAAAGATTTTCAGTCTCGTGAGATTGTCAATAAGGCCAGGATTCTAACACATCGTACATGGGAGCGTTTAACCTGGCGGCGAGCTTGGACATAGGTGAAGGGGAGGGCGAGATGCGAGGACGAACATGAATGTAACATAGATTTACATGCGACTGCCATCATGAGTCTATATGGTCTTGAGTGACATCCTCACCCTCACCTAAAGTCTTACACTCATTATTACCGAAGCCTACACCCTGTGGTGCGAAAGCCTATCGTTGTGACATTTTGTCTATGCGACGTTTTGTCCGATCACCACCATTTGGTAATAATAACCAAAACATTTCATCATTTATTAAAATATTTTCTTTTAAAATTTCTTTATTTTCATTTGCTTTTTTATTGAATAAATTAAATTCTCATTATCAATTTGTTTAACTTGTTGAATTGTTGAACATGACGAAACATTTATTGGTAATTTTTTAATAGATTTTTCAAATTTGATGTTGAAATTAATTTTATTGCACCACCTTCTTTTAATAATGATTCATTCTTATAAAGATATTTAATAAATCTTTCATTGATATTGTTGGAATATTAGATGATTCAGTAGACATTTTTTATTTAAAATCAATAGAAAAACAAATCTTTCTTTTTCTTACTTTGTAATTATGAATAATCAAATGTATTCATTGTATAACGTTTTTTTTGTCCTTTTAGTATTCTATAGGTAGACAACATAGACAGAAGCAGCTCAGCCGTAAACGGAGGTTTTACTCAGACGGGTAATATCTCAAACTACGACAGTATCAACAACACATACTACCGTGTGTAGGTGTATACAGACTCCATATTCTTCGTTCTGAGAAGTCAGAACAAAGGTCATGTGACGTTTTTTATTCGAATAGAATAGATTAAAATAGTTCAATTAAACATTTTATCAATTTTTTAATAGAAAAATCAAAAAAACTAATGACTAGATTCAAGATTATTAAAATGACAAACCTTCGGTTGAAATAAACTCACTAATATACGAATTTAGAATTTATAAAAACTATCATTTTTTTCTAAAAAGACATTTTCGATGATTAACGTTACTTAATTATTCATTAAACTACATTTTTATTTGTTCATCTGATGACGTCAAAAAGATAATTTCGCTTTTTTTTTTTATTTTGATCGAGAATATTGAATAAATTTTTCTTTTTTCTCATATATCTTATACGAACAAAAACGAAATAATAGAAGAAAAAAAGACATACTTCTTTTATTTTCATAATATTTGTTTGGTTTTGTTACCTTGAATAAGAAAATATTCATATCATGTAAATTCCTCTAATTTATCATAAACGTCAAGATTTAAATGTAAAAAGAAACTAAAAATATTTCATTTAAAAAGTGACTGAAGATGCATATGTAAATACAAATTAATGATCACAATTATTTTATGGATAAAAGTCTTTTAATAGATTTTATTTTATTTAAAAATGAAAATTTTTAGATGAATAACTGATTTATTTAAAAAACATATAAAAAAACAAACAATTAAATTAAATTCATTAAAAGTAACAAAGATAACAATTCAATGGAAATTTTGTTTTTTTAAGATTTTTACTTTTAATTAAAGGAAATTTTTCTGCTTTTTTTTTGTTTTATCTTGGAAAATGTTTAATTAAAAAAAAAGAAATTTTAAATATACGTCAACCATGTTCATAAATATTATTATGCAAAGCATGGCTTTATGCTATTACAATGTTTTTTCTTTTCTTTTTTTATCAAGTTTTCTATATAATGCAGTAATTTGATTTTTTCTCTTATTTTTTTCATGTAAACGTTTTTTATTTATTTAAAAGCGTATTATCATTTATTAAAATTATTATTACAGATGCGTATTGTTTATGAAGGTTTTCTTTTCTGCTCTCTTCATTTTTCTTCGTTCTCTTTTACCTTTGAATAAAATAGTAAATCAAATCTCGCGTCTACCTCAATAATGATTCAAGTTGCTTTTTCGTTCTCTAATGTACAGTATAGAATAATGTGAGAGGTAACAGAACGAAATATCCACATGTTTGTCTCGTATTCGTATCTCTTCATCTCTCTCGTGTAAAACCAATCAAAATTTTTTTTATAGTTAACATGTCGCTAGAAGAAGCCAATAGAGAAGACAACGCTAACTCATTGAATGAAATGAATCCTTCAAATTCGCAAGTTCTCTCAAAGAAAAGTGGCTGACAATAAATTGAACCGTGAATAACTATATAACATATAGGGAAAACTATGCAATAGACAACAATGAATAAGTACAAACTCGCTGATCACAAGCTCAAAGAAATAGAAGGATCTGTGTATAAAATTCGAAGACGCTGCACTGGTTGCTATGAAACAAACAAGAATCAAGGGCAAACGAGTCATGTGGTGGCAAAGAAATTAAAAACTTTCTAACCTGACTTTGATAAATCTTTTCGCCTTTAATATTTTAACAAGAAATATCATATGATGAAATAAAAGACTCAAGAAATACCCAATACAGAGCAGATGACACATTAGATATAATCTATTGTCTAAGAAAAAAATAAAAGTGCTTTTATATACAGTTCGAATTTGTTAAAAAATTTCTATTTTGAATTGTAAGATAATATAGGATTTTGATTAAAATATGTTATATATAATAAATTAATTCTAAATTTTTTATTTAAAATAAAAGAGAAAATGGATTAAAACTAATTTATTCATTTAATTGAGTTTTTTTCATGAATTTACAAATAAAAAAAATCGAATATTGTTGTAAAAATATTTTCAATGAAAATTTTCAAAATGAAGAAAAAAACAATTTATTAAAAACTTACATAATTTATCGAAGATATTTCTAATATATATTTTGTTCATTATTTGAAGAATTGTCATAATCATAAAGAATCTAACTAAATCATTTCAGTTTCTCCACGAAAATATAAAGAGAACATTATTGAAAAAGTTTCTCTTTCACGTTAAATATAACATTGAACAAAATTTTCTACAACAAAATTCAATTAATTTTTCTCGAAGAAATAAAATAATATAAAAAAAAATTGAACATTTTTTAAAACAGAATCACTCAACCGTTTCCACGTGTTTTATTTGCGATGAAAAAGCGACGTTTGTTCACTACGAACATGTATACATGTTCGTGTCCAACAACGTGAATATAGAATAAGGATTATTACGATCGCACTCTCATACACACGTAATTACAATGAAAATATAATAGTTGAATGTAGTTAGAATGAAAAATAAATTAGATTTTGTTAAAATTCTGTCACATATTCATTGTCGATTGATGCTGATATTGTGAGAGAAACAATGTCAGATTGATATCATTCATTTCTCTCTTTATTTCAAAATGTTATTATTGAAGAAATAAAATTATTTAAATGGTTACTCGAACACGTCTCCATCAAAATAATCTCATATGATTTTGATTATTTCAAAAAAAATAATATCATTGCAGTTCTTTCATTATATTTTTACAAATTAATAAAAAAAGATTTTAACGATATGAAACTGATTAGTTGAAGCTATTCATAAGAGAAAGCATATTTCTAATCTTGGTTAAAAATAATTCTACGAGCGTCATTGTTGTTTAGACAAAAAACATTGGCATTAAATAATGAGTTTATTTGTATTAATAAAATTTCTCAATATGTTTATGTTACTAAAATATTTTAACATAGGATATTATGTGATTAAAAACTTCTGAGCCTCAATCATCACCATATAAAATTGTCTAATCGATTTTATTTGTCATTCTTTCTCTATGACTAAATTTTTATTATATATTATTATTGTAAAAAGGGGGTGGTCGAAAATCGTCAATTTTAATGCACTCTAGAAATGTCATAATACGAAAGTCCTTGGCACCCAGATCATGAATCTGACATCCGTTTGTCTTACTATGTTTTTTTACTTAGACGATAGCGTCGTCATTTCGCAATAGAATTCAAAACTTCTTTTTACGAAAATGTTCAGCGAAAAAAACTCTACAAAGTTTGAGTGAAAAGAAAATTTTCTGAATACTTATCTGTTTGTGTTTGAAACCTCGCGGAACTACCCTACTGAGACTCACGTACCCCACTATGGCAAACACGGCAAGAAAGGGATCAGATCTAGACAAACGGATGTCGGATTCGTGATCTGGGTGACAAGGACTTTCCTATTATGACATTTCTAGAGTGCGTTAAAAATAATGGTTTTTCGACCACCCTTTTACATTGAGAAAATATAAGAATATATGTCTGATATACAATCGACAATTTCCATTTTTCTAATTTATTTTCAAATCTATCAACATCAAAGAATTTCAAATCTTCATAAACTATATTGTTTTCAATTTGATAATGATGATGATGATAAAAAAAGAAAAAGAATTGTTTTATATTTAATTGATTCAAACTATATATCTCAATTTATGTATACCATGAAAAAATGTCTATATTCTAACTATTGGCTTTGTGTACAAATACGATTAAATCAAGATTAAAAATTATGAATACATTTTTATGAAATATATTCCCATAATTTATATTTAGAAATACTTTTCATATATATTTGATTTTGCTGTATAAAATCAGCTGATATACATACTTTATATTTTCATTTCATTGCCATCTCAGACATTTTTTTTTCTAATAATGAGATCAACTCTTAATGATCATAATGGCATTAATCTTACAATAAACATAATAATCTTTGGCATTCATCTACTAATATATAAGTTTGCTCGATCGATAATAATTTTATAAACATTTGTGCATTTATCTAATAGAAAAGAATATATGTCAATTGATAAAAGTAGAAAATTGATTTATTTAAATAAACATTTCTTGTTCTACCTTTACAAATACAATTCAAACAAAGAAAACGAAATGTTAATATTCACTATGATAAAAAACATAATTGCTCAACTTGACTTTTTTCTACCATATTCGGATTGCTGATATTATCGATTTGATTTTAACTTAAATATACACTGAGATTTGCAAAACTCTTATGTCAATTTTGTACCAATAGATGATTCACTCATGCTGTTGAATCTAATAAGACATGGACGACAAAATTCTTCACCACGTTCATCAATCCATTTACTTAAATTAAAAAAAATACCTGCATGACGAGTATTGTAATCTTCTGAAAAGATACAAATTATT